ATTCCCACCCCAGCCCTTAGACTGTCCCCGGCCGTGAGGCAGAGCTGTTCCGCCGAACCATCACCTCGTGTGAGGAGAGCACCGCACTGCACCGCATGCCAGGCTGCATTTCACCCCCGTCGCCGCAGCCACGTGGGCAACATGCATGGGATCGACCGCGAACGCGATTCGCGGCATTGGGGTCATACTCTAGCCCACCTTCAGCTCGTTCACCCTGTCGATCGCAGTGCCTTTGAACTTGGATACTGGATCTCGCACTGGAAACTGAACGGGAAATTTAATCCTCGGATCTAAACGTGGCTTCATCGCGTTGTACAGCCGAGGCGCGTTTGCGCACGAAAGGCTAACGTTTTACGATTCTGGTCGCTCTCGATGCACTGACACGTGGCGACACAGTTATCGAATGTGAATGGTGAGACCCGTGCATGATGGCGCGAATCTAGCTGTTGGCGAACGGAACGTAGCAAATCAGCGCTGGTTATAAGTTGCGGCGAGTAGCGGGGAGGATTGTGTGGAGGAAATTCGTGAGGCATGGCAATGTGAAACGCCCGTCACGTCAAGTTCAATTTGCACTTCCAGCTGTTACCATCCGGGTGTTTGCAAAGCAACACCGATTTTGCTCTCGAAACCTTGAGAGAGACATAGTCATTGTGTCGTTCTCAGTTCACACAGAAACATGTGCTTTAAGCGAGGTACAACACCAGTGCCAGCGCCCCTCCTTCACCTGTTAAAGATTTACCAGCATAATTGCAGTTCCGAAGCGAACACGTGACGACTTTCGTACGTACACATATCGTTAAATGATGCAAATTTCGGTACCCAGCATGACTAACTTGAAACTCAGCACGAGTCAGGAGCAGAAACGTTCTACATAACCGCGGTGGAAGTCCCGTTCTACATCGATGTGCCATATTCAGTATTCGAACCCGCGTCGCAGTTAGTGCCAGTATACGGCTATTATTATTCCTCCACTCCCTCCGCACGCTATCTTATCTGCTCGTTTCAAAGCCTTCTCGTTTTCTCGCGTGAGATTCGCGCGGCATCTCAGATCGTTTGGCGTCTTAGGATCTTAAACGCCTTAGTCAGCAATAGTCTACTTGCTATTGCTTATCGTGTTCTCCACGATCTCCCGAATCCAATGATATGCGCCTTAGTCAGCAATTTCGAGAATGTGATTGGTTTCAATGTTATGATTTCCAGAATGAGTACAAGCAGTTTTATAGTCAGGCAAGACACAATATGCGGTTCGTAACGTAACTTCTTTCCCAAGAAATTTCGCGCGCGCCTCGTTACCCCGAGTCGCACGCGTAACCGCACCGAATGCACCGAACACTCCTCAAGTCCGAATCTTGAACCTTCTCGAACACGCCTTGGTCTCGAACCTCAATCTCCCCCCGTCGATCTCCTTCTCTCGATGCTTCTCCACTCTTCTTCCTCTATTTCTCTCGTTTCTTCCCGACTCTTCTCAGTTTCTCACGCCGTAGCTTCCGTTCTTCACCGTAGGCCGATTTCCACCTCATTCACTCTAGAATGTCCCACGCGCGTCCATTCCACCGTCGCACCGAATCTCGCCGTAGCTTTCGTGGTTCGTCGAACCAACCCTAACATGGCGTGTCCAGACCCGTCGCGCCATTGCCTCTCCTCACGACGTTTCACTCTGCGAAACCCTAGAAACAGTTCCGAATCTCTTATGTAAGGCTGGTCCCGTCATTCCACTGCTCGCACACTGGCACTACCCTCATCATCATTTCGCCAATGGTTTCAAGTCCTTCATTCTCCCTAGCTCTCTGTCTCTCGCCCTTAGCCTCCAAACCATCTACGTTTCACGTTCCCGGAGATTATGGTAAGACTAAGCTAAGTCGTTTATCCATGCATGAAAGCGCCACTCCTCCGTTCTCTTAATAGGGCAATCTGACGCTAATACGGGTACTCATATACTATATGGCATTGCCAAGAAAACAATGTCTGTGTGGCCTGGCTCGCATTGCTGCAAGTCCCACCATCGCACATCCCTGTCTATTTGCTCCCCTCATTTGATCTGCGCCTTTACATCCATGATGCAGTTGTTTCGCGCTATGATTGAGAAGTGCCCTATTTGATAGAGCTGTGCAGCTGTGCTAGCCTGCAACCCTGATTAAGCTCGCGCCTCAGTCTTCTGGGTTGGCCGCTTAAATGTAGTCACTAGCAGCGAGCGAGGCAAGTGATACTTGCCTCGTTACGGTTTATGTTATCAAACCAACTGGGTGTAGCCAATATCAACTGCGTTGACTACTTTCCCGGTCCCTCTCATCCTGTTGCCTCCCTTCCCTCGCTCCATTTTCAGAATCGCCGAGCCTCGCCATTGGCACCACGAACTGCAGATCAACTTCCCCCACGCGCTGCTGCTGCTGAGTCTCTGCGTGAGACGTGGAAAACATCGACACTTGAAGACACCCTGAAGAGGGGTAAGCATTTTGACTCTCTGGTCAATACATAGGCATGCCCATCCCTCTTGACTCCCCAATCTCGGCCTCCCGCATTCCAAGGATCCGAGCATACGAGCCGTGGTGGTGCTCAACATATCACTGCTTGGTGGGATTGTAACGTTTAGTGCATTGTTGCCTGGGCCCTTCCTGTGCTGCTGATTTCTTGTGGTCCATTCATCATGGAAAAAAGTACCAAGATACTGATTCGTTATGGACTGGCCAGCAGGACTAAAGCAGGCCGGTTGGCGGATAAGGGAAGGAGGGACTATGTAGAAAGGTGTGCAAAAGGTTGCAGTGAGTGAGTGCAATAGAGTAGATTTGCACGGCGATATGGGTTAGGAGAATGCGGTGAGGTGTGGTTCATTGAGGGTGGTTGACCGATTTGGATGGTGTAAGTTGGCGATCTGGCTAGTGTTTCTGTTTTTTCAACATTTCTTGACAAAGCACCAATTCACGCCAGGGCATTTACGCAGTTCGCTCAGCGTTTCTGGTATTTTTGACTAATTTGGTCTGAGCTAGCTTGCCTCCCTCCCAGTGATCGAGGCTATGAGTGCCCTAGCGTGTGACCAACCTAGCCATTGATTGACTGACCAAACCTCCACATGTCCTAGCCTCTGTTGGACTAATATTTTGAACATATCTCGTGGTTTCCTCAACTTGTGACTGCCCAAGCTCGTGACTGATCGGTTATCTTAGTGACCTGGCCTCTGACCGACCTAGCTTGTGTGTCTGACATAGCCTGTGTCTGACCTAGCCCTTGACTGTCCGAGGCTCCAACTTACCTAGTCTATCTATAGTCACTTACCATGTGGCCTACCTAGCCCCTGACTGACCTAACCTGTGACCTACCTAGCCTGTAGCTGTCGTAGACTATGACTGGCCTAGCATGTGCATGACCTTGCCTGTGACTGACCACCTAGAATAGGGTGTAAGTTTGACTGTAATTTCTAGAGTTGCCACCTCCTTTTAAAGGGTGACGTAGCCAATAAGTCAACCACCGTGGTGCTGTCATAGGTTTGACTGACGTAGCCCGTGATAGATCTACTGTTCGAATTTGCCTGTGACTGACTGACCAAGCTTGTGACTTACCTAAGCTGTGAGTGAGATGTCCTGTGTGGCTGTCCTAGCCTCATATGGACGTAGCCTGGCCGACAGTGTCCTTGCCTGTGTGATACTTGACATACATAGTATGTATGTGAGGCAGTCTCTGTTCAGGCTGTCACACTATCGCTCACCCAAGGTCAGTGACCACTTAGCCTGTGATCAACGTGACTGACCCAGCCTGTGGGTGATCTTGCCCTGGCTGACCTAACCTCTTAAGGCATGTCTGACCTAACCTCTGTTTTGACCGAACTTGTACGACTAACTTGATCTTAGGTCTGAGCTAGTTAGTCTGACAGATTAAGACTACGAGTGACCTAGACAGAGTGACCAATCTAGCCAGTGGCTGACCTGGCCTGTGGTTGGATCCGCTTGTGACTGACCTGGCCTGTGACTGACCTGGCCCGTGACTGACCTGGCCTGTGACTGACCTGGCCTGTGACTGACCTGGCCTGTGACTGACCTGGCCTGTGACTGACCTGGCCTGTGACTCTGGCCTGTGGTTGTCCTAGCCTCAATTATGTAGCCTATTTGTGACCCGGCCAACAATGTGGCATACATGGCATATGGTGTGATAGATTAAGTAATATTGGCTTCTTGTAGCCAGTCATAACGGCTGCTGTTCTAATGCTGTACTGAATTCTCTCAAACCCCCTTTGACTGACCTACCTAGCCTGTTGCCGAGCTAGCATGTGACAACGGCTCCCCCAACTTCTTGCTGTTTAGTGTGGTGGTCGTAGCATTTGACTCTACTTAGCATCGGCTCTGACTGACCTTGCTTGTGAGGGAGCTAGCTTTGATTGAGCTTTTAACTGAAATATCCCATGAGTAGGCTAACCTCAAATGACTTCAATCTTGACTGACCTAGCCAATTCTGCGCTAGCCTGGTCAGTGACCAGGGTTGTGACTGACCTAGCATGTGAGTGACCAGGTTGTAACGGGCCTAGCATGTGAGTGGCCGCGGTTGTAACTGTTTTACCATGTGTGTGACTGGGGTTGTAACTGATGTAGCCTATGTTTGACCTAGCTTGTGACTTGCATAGCTTGTGAGGTCCTAATTCTGCAAGTGACCTACTTCTGACTGGCCCGGTCACCCCAGAACAATCCCATCCATTCTCCTTACCACCAACCTCACATCCTCTCGACCACATTGACTCGCTAATTCCACGAGTGCTCTGCTCACCTGTGCTTGCTCTATGCGTGAACAATTGGTGAGTGGAAGCAGGCTTGCTGCTACCCGCTTCAGCTCGTTTTATGTGGCCTGCAACCCCTCTCCCCATTTTTCATGTGTGTGTGTAACTGTTTTTGTACCTCCATGTATTCCCCTCCAACTTCTTTCGACACGCCAGAGTGGCATCAACGTTGGGCATTTTGCAGAGGGAGGGAGGAGGCTGTAATTTAGCTGCAATGGCTGTAGAGGGGGAGGCAAGTGTGATGAGTGAGGCAGTAAATGGGCTGTTGGGATTAGTGAGACGGGAGTTGGCAGCATTGAGGGGGGAGCTGGTAGTGGTCAGGGTGGAGGTGGCTCGACAGAAGGAGCGAGTGTTGATGATGGATGAGAGGAACCGGGATTTGGAAAATGAGTTGAGGCGTGCTCTGAGTGTTGTGGAAGAGAAGAGTTTGGCGACTGCTGCTGTGATGGAGGAGAAGGGGAGAGAGGTGGCGGCAGTGAAAGGGGATCTGATTCGCATCAATGCAGAGATGGCAGTAGTGAATGGGAATCTGACTGCAGTGACGGGTAAGGTGACTGCAATGAAAGGGGAGGTGAATGCACTCAAGTGGGAGGTAAATGCAGTGAAGGGGGAGGTGAATGCAGTGAAGGGGGAGGTGAATGCAGTAAATGGGGAGGTGAATACAGTGAAAGGGGAGTTGATTGCAGTGAAAGGAAAGGTGGGTGCAATGAAGGGGGACGTCAATGCAGTGAGGGGGGGGGTGAATGCAGTGAAGCGAGGGGTGAGTGTAGTGACGGGGGAGGTGAATGCAGTGAAGGCGGAGGTAGCTGAGCACAAGCAGTCAACTACATTACAGCTGGAGGAGGCTGAGAGAAGGCGAGTGGCGGAGATGAGGGAGATGCGAGGGCAGGTGAAGGAGAGGGAGTGGAAGCTGGCAGCAGTGAAGAAAGAGTTGGATGCACACAAGAATGCCCGCATGAAGGTGGACGTTGACTTGCAAATCAGACAGAGTGAAGGCGATCAGAAGACGGCATGGGAGGTGGGTGTTGCGTGATCACAGAGCATGCATGGTTAACATGGCATTCTTTGTTTGCTATTGTTTCATTTTCTTGCCATCCATTCCCTCTTCATCCATCACCTCCAGCAACTCAAGTTACAATCACGAGAAACTGATCTGCTCGGCCTCTCAGACGGCCATGTGTCCACCATAATGCATCTGAAGAGCATTGACTTGTCATCTAGCTCAGGCTTCAGTGCAGAGGGCATCAAGCACCTCTACAGGCTGCCACGGCTGGACACGCTAAGCCTGGAGCGCACAGACGTCTCAGACAGTGTCTTGGAAGGCATTGGGTCCTTGACCAGTCTCAGGAACCTCATGCTCGACGATACCAAGGTGACCGATGCCGGCCTGTCGCACTTGACAGCTCTGTCCTCACTCGAGGTGCTATCGCTTTCTACATGCAAGGGTGTGACTAATACTGGTATGGTGCACGTGGGGAGGCTGACAGGGCTTAAGAGGCTTGATCTGGACTGCACGGCAGTCACGGATGATGGGCTGCAGCAGCTGACTGCCCTGACCAAGCTGACATCTCTCCGGTCGCCAAATGGAGTTTTTGTTCGCAATGACGATGTGCGCAGGTGGATAAGGCGGTAGGGTGGGCAGGGGGTGATGGAGGGGCCGCATGAGAGCAAAGTTGACTGTGACTTCTTGGAGGAGAGGTGCAGAGGCAGGGGGTGTGAAGAATGGGGGAAGTACATGGAGGAGTGTGTAAGGAGTGGGAGTTGTAGGGGTGTACACATATCGGACCCTGCAGGGGGTATGCACGACAAGGATGCAGCTGCTTGCTGGAGGGTATTATGTTGGTTGGCTGGGCTGGTGGGCATGCAGCAGCGCTGACATGTCTCAATCTCACCTCTTGCAGGGCCCCTTTAGGCAAGATAGCACAGCATCTAAGGGCAATCATGTTTTCCTAGATAAGCTTGAGTGCAATGTGTGTAATGCGATGCGATAGCCCTTTATTGAATAGATCGTCTTCTGAACAGTGAAAGAATGCTTAATTCTTTACACATGTCTCACATAGGGTGCTCAGGTACACTGTGTGCTGCCTGGGTCTTGGAGGCAGGGCATGATGCCTGGGGCGGAGGGCAGAAGTGAAGCAGAAGGAAGTGGGACTGTGTCTGTATGAGTGAAGGGCAGAATTATGGATGCTGTTACATCGCCCATTCATACTGTCCACTGCATTTCTCCTCTCAGTTCCTTTTCACTCACTGGCATGGTGGAACCATGCTCCCATGCTCCCATGCTCCCATGCACCCATGCACCCATGCACCCATGCTCCCATGCTCCCATGCTCCCATGCTCCCATGCTCCCATGCTCCCATGCTCCCATGCTCCCATGCTCCCATGTCCCCATGCTCCCATAACCCCATGCGCCCATGCTCCCATTTTCCCCCTTGAACTAATGCCCCCTTGCTACTGTGATACCGTGCTTCCATGATCCGTCCATCGCTAGAAGTGCGCGCATTTCTTCTCAACTGACGGCAGACAAACGTGGGTGGATTATATTCTAGCCCTATCTCTCTTCTTCCATCCAATGCTGCTGCTCAAACCTTTCTGCTTTTGCGCCTTCGTCCATACAGACACACCTAGCATGGTAATCTGATGCTAATTCATGGATGGAAGAAACGGGGACGCAACCTCTTGGTAAAAGCGAGGTTTCAGAAACGGGGATACACCAACCCAGTGAGTTGATGGTGTTGAATTGGTCCCACCAACCTGCATGTTTGATTGACATAGTAAATTTTGTACAGCCAGCTAGCGAGCCGCGATGACGAGCCGCACTGGATCTCTTGTTTCTTGGTTGAGTGTTGGGCACGGTAGATGGGAGTAGATAAGGAGTAGTTTCTTTCATGTAATTCTGAGAGCGCTGATGAAGGCCACCGGCCGAAACGCGCGTACGCTCAGGTTTGAATGAAAAATTTCTTACCTACTCAGTCCCTACTAAGCCTAAGCTCAGCCTAGAGGAGGTTAAGGATGAGTTACTTGTTAGGACGAGTTACCTGTTGGATCCAGGTCGAATCTGTTGTTCTGTGCCACATGGATGGAAGAATGAATTTGAGCACTGCTTTCCCAAGTGCAGTGCCATCAACCATCTTCCACTCCCCTCCCCTCGCTCAACAGTACGCCCCACCCCGCCTCTGTCAGCACTTCCCCAGCCAGCAGCACCTGTCCTGTACAAACCGTGGCGGCAGCGTGGCCCTCACGGCAGCACACTGCAGAGCCGCCGGCCGTAGCAGCACCAGTAGTGGCGGTGAAGTGGGCCAGTGAGGAGTGGGGTGGAGGCGAGCTTAAGGGAGGGAGTCGAAGTGACCCAACCATGGGAGAAAGGGCTGTTTTGAGCCATGGATGTGAATTTGTGGATGGATTTTTAGGTGACGACAGGTAAGGCGACATGCCAATGCATTGCATAAGCTTCCCTCGCCTTGCCCTCTGCTTTCCCTTGTGTTTTCCTCCCCAACCAGGCGTGGAGGTGTGAGAAGTGGAGTAGAAGAATCTTAATCATCTTCTCACCCTATTCCTCTTCTTCCGTCCATTGGTACTGATCACGCTTGAGTATATCATCCCTGCCTCACCATACATCTCGTGTCCCTTCTACCACTCCCTCCCTGCCACATCCCCATTTCTCCTTCATATAAGCATTCCCCATTTCAGGGTCTCCATTCACCCCATCTCAACCATCACACTTGTCACTTCGACCCATTGCACTTGCTTTCATTTCAACGGTCTTCCGCTTTGTGCTATTCTCTCTGTAAATATACCAACTGTCTGTTCATCCCCACCTCAGTTCCTTCTCCTCTGCCCACTACCACCTCCGATCTTCTGCCCCACCAACTTAACCAAGCAGCAGCATCATAGCCATTGCACCTTCAGCCCTCCTCTCTCAATTTCCCCCTCAATGCTCCAATGGCCCGCCTGAGCTGCTCATATGGCACCATATTGGCGCCAGTCTTATTATCTCTCAAGAATCTCTGTTCCTGCCGCCACATTTTTACCTTCCACTCCTCTTCCCTCTCCATATTTTCCCTCAGGTGCTTCTAGTAGTAGCCTCACCATGCGGTGATGCTAGGGGCATGGCCAGAAGCAAGATGGTTGGATGTAACCACTTCACATCAAAAAGTTGTCAGCTTTTGATGGATAGTTCCTTATTTGTTAGCTGGGTGAGCAGCCACGTTGGTGTGTTGTATCAGGAATAGATGTGCACTCACTCCTCATTGCACAGATCCCCGCACACCTCATCCCACACATCATCCGATACCTAATTGCATATTACACATCCCACTGCACTGCCGTTTCTGAACCACTTTCGCTTCCCTCTACAAATTCCCTCTCGTGTGTGCCCCTCACTGATTCCATGCGCAGCAGAGTCTACACGCACTATCGATTGAGCACAAATGATACGAGATGGGTGCCGAACTGCAGCAGAAGATGAGTCAGTGGTAACCAGCCACGATGATACATTGAGTGGGTGGAGTGTGAATGTAATGAGGTGCAATTGGGGCAGCTGCTGTCTTCTACAGCTCAAATTCAGGCGTTTGAGAATATCTGCCATCTATCCTGAAAAATATCCATGCACTGCAGGAGCTGGTGACATACGAGGGCAGGCTGCTTGCAAAACAATAGCGAGCACCGGATTCATTTGAAAGGGCCAGGGGTGATGCATCAGTATGTGTTCGACTCTTTCCCATGCATACACAGGCCCACTTCTGGTTCACCTCTGCCCTCCGTCCCAATCCATGGATCATGCCATGCCAACCAACTTAGCCAATCCAACAACTCAGCAATGAGCTGCACTCGCTGGTGTGAATCATCCACATATCCGAGTGAGAAGATTGTGATGTTAACAACAAAATCAATTAGGATATTCGTGCAAACTTTCAGTTTAAGTCAGGGAGTGTAAGGCTGGATTGTACAACGGTGCAATCTGAGGTCAAAGCACCAGTGCTCAATCATTACCATATCCAACCCTGTGCACAGGCAAAGCCACGCCAGGTCACCACCTTGCTAACACCTCACTTGCTATCATGTAACGCTGCCACCCCTATCTGCAAGCACAAATCCTCATTACACACCCACTTCTTTAGCAACAGCAGAAGCAGTGCCTTGCAAGCTCTATCATCCACTCTATACCCTCTCCGCTGTGAAGCTATTTGTACACTCTGCAGCCAAACAGGCGGGCGTTCCTTGTGCAGCTCCCCTCATGCAGCCATGCGAGACACCACTCACCCCTGATCTCAATCTTCACCGACTGCCGCTGCTGCTGCACCATGCTCGCCGTTCCCACAGCTCTCTTGCTCGCCCTTGTCCACAGCTTCCCTGCACCGCCTTCCCATCCTCTCCTCCTCAGCCTCGCCTACCCCCCCCCCCCCCCCCCCCCCCCCCCCCCCCCCCCCCCCCCCCCTACCCTTCCCCGTCTGCCCTGCTCATGGCCGGTTTCCACTCCATCATAAGCAATGTCAGGCAGGTAAACCCTAAACCCTGGTTTCTTGCCCAACCAGCCCTGCACCTGCTGCTGCAAGGCACCAGTTCTGTACGACCATTCTTCCAACTCTTTGCAACATGCCAGTCCAGACCACCATTCCATGCTCCACTACTTCACGTGCATGCCTCCCTCATCCTTCACACCCCTTGCCTCCACGCCTCTCCTCAGTCTCCCTTAGACAGTCAGTCAAATCTTCCCTCACCTCCCTTTCCATCCCCTCATTTCCCCCCCGTGTTTCCCCTCCTTTCCCCCCCGTGTTTCCCCTCCATTCCCCCTGGCCGCTCCTTTTCCCCCTTGCTTCCCCTCCTTTCCCCCCCTTGCATCCTCTCCGTTCCGCCCCTGTATCCCTTCCTCCGTTCCCTTGCTTCCCCTCCTTTCCTCCCCTGCTTCCCCTCCTTTCCCCCCCTTGCATCCTCTCCGTTCCGCCCCTGTATCCCTTCCTCCGTTCCCCTGCAGTTTGCAGGAATTGGGTGAAGGTTGAACAGGAAATTAACCAGAGTAAAGGCCATTAGAAGACTGCATGGGAGGTGAGTGCAGAGTTACCCGTTCGACAGGGAATGCATGGTTGGACGGGGGATCATGGTTGGACACGACACGGGATGGTTGGACACGGGATGCATGGTTCGACACCACAAGAAACTCAAACTTGATTATGCGAGTCTGATTCCCTCATTGGTTTTGACTTCGTCGAGGGGAGAGAAATTGGGCGCAAGTACCACAAGTCTCGGCATGAGTCAACGAACTCGTTTTGAGCTCTGTCTCAACAAGTCAGGCCCGACTCGACCTAAAACGGGTTGAGTTGGGGGATGCATCGGCAAAAGCATCAAGCAGACTCTACTCGTGAATTAAAGAAGAGATCCGACTCAACTTGACAAACAGTCGATTCAAAACTTGGTTCGTTGCTCATGTCTACATGATAAGAGATGCATGGTTTGACAAGGATGCATGCTTTGATAGGGGATGCATGAATTGACATGACATTGCATGGAAGGATAGGGCGTGCATGGTTGGAGAAGGGATTTATGGTTTGACACTGGATGTGGTGCTTACTGTTGTAACATGGTCATTCCTTCCCACTTCATCCATCACCTCCCCCATCCCAGCGAATCAAGTC